ATATATATATTTTCCTCAACTGGCAATAAAAAAATTTATTAAACTATAACTCTCAGTGGTCCTTTTTTTCCATTCGGGCAATATCCATTAAGTTCTCTTATTTCAGTTGGAACACAGTTCATTATTGCTTTTGCTTAAACCCGTCATACTTCATTCAACTGACAGGATCTTTACTTCTGAGTACCAAAAACGTCTTTCCTATTGACTCTGAGAATACGAACGCGCCCCCGTCTTGTAGAGAATTCCAAAACTCCCCGCCCAAAACTCATTTCATCCATCACACTTGGCAGTTTTGGCGACTTAGGCGATAATGTTTCTCGTCGTCCGCTTGCATCTCCTCCTCTCAACTCATCACCATTATCCGTACTCGCATCTCTCCAAAATAAACCATGAAGTATCCGAGGGATTCTTAAGAGCAGTTAGAGACTCTACAATGTCTCCTAAATCATTTTGATGTGACTGTTTTCAAAGATGGCCCAGGTTTGCAAGTAACGGTTGTGGAAAGCATAACATGTTGCGCTTTATTATATAGGGGAGACAAATACTTTCATAAATGGGAAAAATCCATTTAAAATTTTCCTGGAACACTAATGGTACACTAGCTACGCTAGCATGGAAAGAAATTGTTAAAATAAATTACGGGAGAAGATATATAAATTATTTTATAAAAGTATTTTTTTATCCTTTACTAAGACCGGGGAAAGTGTTATGATATGACAAGAAAATAGTAAAATGAGTTTTAAGAAACGCATAATAATATTCTTACAGAAAAAGTTTTTCGTTCATATATTAACTAAATTGAAGCTTTAGCCTGCAATTTTAAACAAAAGAAATGCATCATAATTATCTTCCATTTCTTATCTAAGTGTAATTAAAATTTAGTTTTAGATTCAACGCCTTCTTGGGAAAAGAAAATGAAGTATGCTTTGCTATAATGAAACTAATTGAATTAAATTTTATTGATTTATCTTTATGTATTTTTAATTTCGAACTTATTGTCTATTTAAGGGTTTTATTTAAAACAATATTAGTGTATTAGAATTTAATCTAGTTTTTTTTCCAAACACATTCTTAATTAAAAAAGAAATATCTATTTTACTTATGGGCTTAATTAAATTAAATATTTCTGCTCAGTTTTCCTGTCTTTTGTTTCTTTTATTTTTTCCCATTGTTTGCTAGATGATGATAAGCAATAGATGAGCAAATATTCTTAGCTATAATGGCATTCTTTTGTTTTGTTGCATCAGGAAATTCAACACTCACTGAATTATTCATCTCTGTAAAATCACTCATTGATGTAAAAATTATATCTTCTAACTTTTTCCTAACAAGCCGTAATTGACATCTTTTGAAAATGTTCCGTTAGATTTCATTTCAGTATTTATTTTGCATTTCCTTATAAATGTTTCCATCCTAATATCTAACAATTATGAAATTAATTTTAAAGGATTACGAACAAAATAAATCAATTAATCTGACCAATTTTTATTCTAAAAAATATGAAGATGAAGCAAGTAGATAACTTCAAATGATCTTTTTATCATCTATAAAATTCGTATGAATTTTTTTGACCAAAATTTTAGTTCAAACTTTTTTGCATCACAAAGTATAAAACTATTGATTTAAGCTTAGCCAGGATAAAAAGATCTCCAAAGATGAATTAAGCACATAATAATCTCCATAGAAGATCTTAAGTGTTGGTGAACAAAAAAGAACTAAATCTATAATAATCATAAAGTATTATTACTGATTGTTATGAGATAGTTTGTCTTGCTGAATGAAAAAGAAAATGCGTGTAAATTCTGATTACTTAAGTTTTAACCTTTTGCTCAACGAATTCTTTAATATGCTGCTAAAACTTATGTCAACACTAAATTACAAAAATAGTACAATATTTTTTTTAATTTCTAAAATTGGCAAAATAATGTGGTTAATATAATTAAAATTTTAGCTTTTAAATAGGTTATTTAACTTTTCTACTCAGTGTTGTAATCGGAGGGCAAAAGATCAACATTTTCTGGCGCAGTGTTGCCAGTCTGTTCACTTGTTTTCGTCTATCACTGATTTTTAGCCACTCTGAAAATGTCACTTACCAGGTTCATACAAATATCTCTTCAAATGTGTTCTACTAACTTGAAAAAAAAGCAAAGGAAAACGTAGGACGTACTTGGGGAAAACGTAAAATTGGTAGAATTTGCAGTCGCAGCAGGTACCGATATGTATAGAATAATTCATTATGATTAGAAAGGTATATAATGCATTCAAGTACACTCGATGAAATTTATGCAACTCTACCCTTACAAAAATTTAAGGTATTTTTGAGGTATATATCAGGTTGTTTTGAGGTGTCAAGGTTAATTAGAGAAAAAGATCAACCTACCAAGGTGTATAATCAAGATGTAAAGTTCTTTTATTCACACTTGAAGTTGATGGAAATTCTACTTCAGAGCCACCAGATTAGGGAGGTTGTTTTTGAGGTGTACGGATATTTTTTCTATACTTCAAGCAAATTCGTATATTTGAGGTGTGAATTTTTTTTACCCGATTTAAGCTAAGATTATTTCTGAGTTATATGTGACGTTATTTTGTGAGGTGTAAATGAGGTTGAAATCGTGGTTTATTAATGAGGGTTTTTTTTGGTGCAAAACATAAAGTTCATTTCTACCTCTAGTGTATTTTCTACATCTGCCAGCTAAAAAACTTTTTTAGCCAAAAAATCGCGCCAGCTAAAAAAGGAAAGCTTTCCGCTCGGGCAGAATTTGCTGTAGTTCTTAGTTTCCGGACACTTTTAAGGCAATAAAAATTGTTTAAATCCAGCTTCAAGTTGGACAAAAACATTTCCGCTACTTCATTTTTTTTTTAATTTTTGCCCATGAACATTTCCTTTAAATAGCAAATTGTATTGGTACTTATAAATAATTTAGAAGTATTACGTACTTGTGATCGACAACATCGGCCGATAATCACATTTAAAAAACTGCCTTTGTCATAGTAACCTTGATACTAATTGTACCAATACTGTACTACTATGATACCTGCGACCTCTTGCGGATTATTTTTGGAAGATTTTATTTATATTTTTAATGTAATAGCAAAAGTTCCAAAATCACTCTCGGTTCCTGTTGTAATAAAATTGAGTTAATTTGCTTTTAAATACCATTAAATTTAAATAAATGACAATAAAGAAACATAACCTGCTAGTTATCTTAACGTTTTTTAAGTGATAACAAAAAATAGATTAAGTATTTCCATTCAATATCACTTTAGTATTTATTTCACTACTACTGGTAAAAGTTGACAGGTAAGTAGCAATAAAAAAAATATCACAATATGCATAAAATGTTAAACTAACGCAGCGCACCAAAAATTTTAAGCACGAACATAGATCTTCATGGCACGTCTTTGGAAGTAACAATAGAAAAAACAAGTATTGATACATTGAGCACGCTTGCTCTAAAAATTGGTTAGGCAATGAAAGCTACGACAAGTATAAATATAATACAATAAGCTTTAACTTACCTGACGTACTCAAATGCTCATATCATTTTATTCCATTTGAATAGATTTTCATCTGAAAATTAAAAAAAAAGATTACGTCAAATATTAACATACTTTTAATTCAAACACTAACAGTGTCCTTTTAGTTTTTTATAGGAACAATGGAAAACATAATGTTTTAAACTAATGCATCAATTCATAAAACTTTCACTAGCTATTAATATTCGAGTTTTTGCAATTTGAACAACTTTGTTTTGGTGACAGCTGCATTTTATAATCAAATTAAAAATACTGCACATCGGTGTTTATTAAAGGGAACTATATACTCCGTTTCTAGTTTTGCGTTTGCTAAAAACCATCTGCGTTTTAAGAAGTAAGTAATCATCCGCGAATGCGTATATTTCAGTTATGAAATTATACAAATACGCTTCGAAAATACTATAAAAGCATTTATAAGTTAAACATGCCAGACAGAAATTTAATTCATGCATCTTTTACGATACATATCATAAAAATATTTTTTTTTAAAAATTACATTTTCGTAATCTTACTGATATCCTATATTTGGCGGCATATTTCGATAAATAGGGAGAACACTCTCTCTCGAAAACAAAACAACTGTATGACGTTGCAAAAGCATGGGATTTCATTGGACCACTAAAACTGGAGCGTCTTTTGCTGGCATGTCTTTAACAAATCAAATGAGAGATAAAGAGTTTTTATTTATAAAATCGCCAGGAAAATATTTATAAGGAAGAGAAGAAAAAAATATTTATAATTCTTTCATAGTTTTTTTTTTAAGTATGAACAAAAAGTATTATTTAAATATGATGCTAATCTTTAATTTTTGCAGAAATACAAAACAATAATTTTTATTCAATAAGTTTTGTTTTCCTTTCTTACGATTTAAGAAAGCAAGCAAATGAATACAGCGCAACGGTAGCGTTGTTGGCCATGTTGACTGACTTGTTGATTGCTTCGATGATCATTTCACTACCAACTTGAACATTTTTAAGGGATTTTTGGTACCCTAGTATTATAAACTTTTTAGACCAGCTGGTACCCTGATTTTAGTTAGAAAAAGTCCAGTATTATATTAGAAACGGCAAGATTAACACATCTATTAGGATAAGCTGTAGTTCTAGATATTTTATTTTACAACCGTCGTTGAACATCCGACCTAATTTTGAGTTTACGACTATTAATGTTCAACTCCGTAACCTTGTAATTTTGAACCAGATCAAAAAGACATGGAAATTCCTGGATCAAGTATTGGAAGAAATTTGTCTTCGTTGAACAAAGCCTTCAGCAAGAAAACAAAGCTAAATAAAAATGAATAAAACTTTTGTCAATAATTTTATGGAATGTAACATATTGTATGTATGTAGTTTTTCATACAATTAAGCAGAATTTACAATTCTGGATAGACATAAGAATTCTCAGAGTCTATATAAAAGCAGTAGTCCTACAGCAAAATGCTTACTATAGAATTATTATTCTAGAAAAAGAATTTTTAAGGTTCAACTCAGAAAAGAAAATCTAAAATTCATATTTCTGGAGAAAAAAAACGTTTTAAAGTAATTTTCATAAACTTTGCAAACATTTCATTACTATTCTTCTACAAAACCTTCATCATATTAATTTAATTTGAAATTATGAATTTATTAAAAAATCTGTATTTGTTAGTTTTTTTGAGCTCAAATCAGGATCTTTTGTTATTTACAGTAGATGAAAATGTTTAAAAATATCTATCTAAAATTATTGTAAATATATGAAAAATATTTACGCCGTTGAGGTTTTTTTTTTTATACATACAAAATATAAACCGTTGAAACGAAATCTCTGGGAGGATTTTATTTTGAAAACATGGCATATTGATGAATGGCCAGTTTTTCCCACTATAAAACTACAATATGTCCTGTTTTTTTTTTCTTCTTTTTTTTCTTCTTCTTTTTTCTACTTTTTTGGATTTATCGACTGTTGCAATGCACGCTGGAACATCCATCATTTTAGTTTACAAATCGATTGCTTCTGAAACTACTGTCGTTTTATATTCGAATTTGGTCGAAACAGAATGATACATGTAGAGAATATTTATTTGCCCTTTTACGATCTTGTCTTTTGTTCTCGGGGGTGACAGTTTTACAAATCCGATAAGTTATTGACAAAGTTTGAAAATTTAATATCTTTTTCAAAAAATCAATAAAAAAGATTTAATGAGCAATTCCAGAGCTCAAACTGCACAGTATCTTCTAAATCTTAATTATCTTCACCCAGTGGACAGAAAAACAACTGTCTGTGAATAACAGACGATATTCTTCCGATTCGAGAGCGGTTTATGTTTGAATTAAATGTCTCTCCATGTAAGATTCCTCTCAATGTAATGCAAATGCAGACTAGTTCCATCAAAAAGTATTCCACGAAAGCAAATTTCCCGCAATACTTGATCCTAAAGTTCCCTTGTTTTCTGGATTGGGTGCAAATCTCAACAAGTATGTGAATTTCCTTATGTAAATTCAGATCTCTCTTCTAAATAAGTATTCACTTAATTCCTGAAATTTTTAATTAGAGAGCTAAATCAATTTAAATTTTGGGACATGGTAGCCCAGTGGTTAGTGATCTGGAATCCTATTCAGAAGGGCCGAAATTCGATCCTTGGCTCCGCTGAAACCCACGGAGTAAATACGATATATCTTTTTGTAAAATCTATGGAATCAAAAGTCCTGCAATCGGTCGCTGAGCAGGGGTTCAGGGATCTTTGGAAAAATTTCTTTCCCTTTCAGATCTATGTTTAAATTGAGGAAATGGCCTTATGAATAACTGATGATGCCATCTTTACTTACGGTTTTGAGCTAAGACATCACCTCCTACATCAGAAAGCCTCCACTAAGTTTTTTATAAGTAGTCCACGCAGACTACTTAAAAAGTGAGCCAGCGGCGTAAAAATGAAACCAAATTCAATTTTAAAAGTAATCGAGAAAAAGTTAGAATATGAATTTGAGAATTGAATCTATAGTGGTTGGCAAGTAAATAAGACAAACCTATAATATACATAAACTTTAAAAAAAGAGACATATATTTGCTACCACTTTCTTATTCTTACTAGATTTTTTACAAAATGGCTCTTTCTTAAACTGGTTTTATCTTCATGGTGGCATTATCGGACTACCTGTAAGAAACTGTGTGGAGGGTAAGACGTACTTTCTTCCTTGCAGGAACTTCCTTCCGTACTTTCTTCCTTTAGGAAACTCAGCCATTCGTATTGAGTTTCCTGACATACTTCGCCAAGCCAATGGCTGGCGTGCTTAGCTTGTCCCAGTGTCTTTCAAAACAACACAACAGACTCTTGTTAAAAAATAAAACACTTTGTGATTTTAGCCCTCATTTCAAATTTAACTTTTTTTAAGAGAAATAAAAATTTAATTTTCATGTATTTTATATAAATATTTTAATAAATAATTACCATGGCATTTTTTGCTGACTCTTTTATGAAATGTAAAAGCATAAAAATGTGGCATGTTATTTTTTAGCTAGAAGATCTTCTCTGGAATGTAAAGTATTATAAAATTTAACTAAAAATTATAATAAAATCTACTTTGTTATTAAAGACACCATAAAAAAAATGTAATGACGTTAACATTTTTAACCCGATGAAATGTTTTTAAAACAAACAAATTGGAAGCACGTTTTTCTATTTTTTTTTCACAGCGGCTGAAATCAAATCCTTTTTTAATGGAGTAATCATCTTTAACATGATATTAAGTCTGTTAAATCAGAAGAAAAAAAAAATCATAGAAGAGAAAAAATACTCTCTTTCGAACTTGTAAATCTCAGAGGAATAAAAAAAAAAGCATTTTTAAAAGTAAAAGGGATTGTTTTTGTTTCCCTAATTTAACTTTGAGAGCGAACTATTTCCCAAAAGATTATTTTTCTTTCTCTTTTTAAACAAACAAGAATATTCGTGAAAAAATATTGAGTATATGTAAATCGGGAAATAGCTTTGGTTTTCCATTTCAAGTAAATAATTGAACTCGAGTAATTTGATGGGTGAACAAGAAAGGAAAAAACTTCTTATTCTAGTCACGCAAATATCGAAAAATATAAGAATTTATTCTGTTGTATAAATTGTTCGCAGTACTATTATATTACCACTATTAGAAAAACTGCTTTTTTCTAAGAAAAAGTAGTAGTTAAAATAAATTTTAATATAGGGTATTTTCTGATTAGATTTGTTCAACAAAATTTGAAAACTTGAATTGATGATCCAGATAAGTGACTTTCAAAATGGTATCAGAAATTCTAACTGTTTGAGGCATCTGCGAATTATTTTTTTCAGTGGTGATGAATTAAAGCAGAATTTTTTTCTCAAAAAGAAAATGTATCAGAACTTTAGCATTCGTCTATATAACCTTATATGAGTATAGGTTAAAAATAACAATAATTAATTTTCCTAATCATAATATTAATTTTTTTAATATATCAATNTCTGGGTTACGCAAACTCCTTGTAACGCAAATACGAGTTCGTATCACTCACATTCACTCACTCACAGACCAAACATTGAGAAAAATTTGTATTCATTTGAATACAAGTTTTTCTCAATGTTTGGTCTTCCGCCGTGGTGACTCAGGGGATAGAGCATTCACCTCCCCATGCGGTCACCCAAGTTCGAATCCCAGCTGTGGATGGTAGATACAAATTCTGCATCCAGCTATGATGCAAACGCAAAATATCTTCAGTGGTAGATGGATCATGGGTTAAAAGAGAGGCTTCGTGGTTTTCCTCTTCATGTTACGCAAACGCGGTTTACTCGCATCAAAAAGTCATACACAATGGCTAGTGTGAATCAATTATTAATCCAAGACTTCTTTTGTCTTCTGGGTTGGATTCAAAACTACACGACTAGTAAGTTAAACATTGATAGTCGTAACCTCAGAATGGTATCAGCTGTTCAACGATAGATATTAAATAAAGTTAAAAAAAAATTGTGGTCTTGGTACTTCCAATTGGTTTGGTTCAATATTACAAATTTTCAGGAGATGCATACTAGTATTTGTTTAGTCACAAATCCGAT